ATTCAATTCATTTCAACTCAATTCATTTCATTAACACTTTATTAATCCCAAAGGGAAATTCAGTCAATCCCACGGGAAATTCATGTAATAACTACTGACACAAAAAGTTCTAGACCTTGAAATACAATACTACTCAAACAAATCAAATGCTCTCCAATAACACACTGATGAACAGTGTCTAATTCTATGTTGAGATCCAATGATACCATCATTGTTGTTCTTCTAAAGTCTGCAGTTATGCAGATTCAATTGAATTCTATTCAAAATTACTTTATTGATCCCAAAGGGATCAGTGTTGCAGTAATTTATGGGCTGTTGTTTTTTTCATTGAGTTTTTGTATATGTTGGAACAGTCTTCTGTAGAGGTGTGTCTTGTACAGCATCTGGAGAAACCTTTAAAGTAAACATTCAGAGGATGCTTACAGTTGTCCAATATTGTCTTAATTTTATGAAGAATTCTTCTTTTTGAAATCATCTAGTTCCTAAAACAGAGTCAGCCTTCTTTATCAGCTTCTTGAGCTTCTTTGGTCATTTACTGTGATCCAGCACACAGTCCACAAAACACTTATAGAAGATATGCAGCATCGTATTACAAAAACTGAAGGACTTAAGCTTCCTTATGAAGTATAGTCTGTTACAATGACGACTTCACAGTCGAGTCCGTTGTCCAGGTCATTGATGTTATTGTACACCTTCAACAGCGTAACCTTAGTAATATTATGAGTGCAGAAACTAAATAGCAAAAGTCAAAGAGGCTGGTTATTTATATAATATAGTATCTAATGCATGTCATTTTCAAAGTTCAGGATATATAATATTCTTACAGAGGCATAGTAAAATATTTTATCTTTAAAATGTCATAAAATCATTCATGTGAGATTGACAGAACAGTCATCTCTGATATTCATCTAATGAAAAGAATATTTAAAGCCCATAATTGAGCCTTATTCTTGCAGGCATTATATACAGCACATGTGCACTGCGGCTACAGAATTAGTGAAACTTTTGCTCAAATACAGCACCAAAGACCCAATAAAAATGTCACTTGGTTAGGCCTTACAGATGCTTCACGAGCTTCAACATGCGGAATGTTTAAAAATGGAAATTAAACTAACGAAGTGACCTGCTTTGTGATTATTTTGGCCATTTACTTTCTGAGAACTTCAGTATAATTTAAATCTCTCATATCGTCAGTTGATCCTTAAATTTAAAAATCAAACATTAATATTACCGCAAAAGAAACACACTCCATCCCACCACATCAGAACTGTCTGCGTTCCACATCCTTGATTCAATATGCAAGCTCACACAATTAAATTTGCTTTATGTTAAAAAAAAATCCTTAATCTCCACACATTTTGACCTATATAATGTGTTTTTGTTATTATTATGCTAATGTAATACAGGAAGCTACTATGACTGCAGTGTGAGATTTTTCTCTTTTTGATATGGAATAAAATGCAAACAGGTCTGTTGTAAGCATATATATTTTCAACATGGCAACATGTTTTTTGGGGGGTATTCTAGAAATGTCTGTCCCTGCTGCAGCAATAAATAAACATTAATGGAGCCATTGAGGAGTAGATATTGGTTGGCACAACAGTCGACTGCACCAATCTGATCAGACTGGTAGCCATTTTAGGGGGGGATTTTACTTTAGCACGAGACAGAAACAGAACATTTCTTACTTCTGGTTAACTGTAAAGTAACTCCAAATAAAATAATTTCTTAGAGATAACATCTAAGAAAGTTTAGCTCTGTGTCAAAGCTGCTCCAATCTGACTTTAATTTCACCCATCCTGATTATAGAGTTTTATCATTGAGTAGGGGGTTTATTAAATGATAATATCATCATTATTGTGAGCTGATATATATGTCACCTCAGCAATTGTAGTGAATATGATGCCAAAAAAACCTGGAAAAGTACTGAAAAGAAATTATGGCTCTTTGTCTTTTATTTAAATTAAATATTTCTTCTCACATTGCCTGAACTATATTCCATTTTGCACATAATTTGGCACATTACACTGCAAGAACTGTACATACATTTTGCAGCTTATCTAATGCATTACTCATTCCTTAAAACATAGTATATTCAGAGGCATGACATTTTGATCTGCATGCAGAATCTAGGATTATGGTACCAATGAAACAGCCAGCGTAAAATTGAAAGTAAAGAAAACTAGGTTATGCAAGCACAAGGACTGGGTGGAAAAATACACAGAGCTGTGGTGATGTACTGGACCTCTGCATTAGACGCTACATTCTAATGAACACTCATGCAAAACAGAACCTATATTGACAGCAACTTCTGCAATCCACTTAGATCTAATCAGTCTCTGATAGGAGACGGATTCTAATGTGCGATTAAAAAAACGCAATCTTGGCTTTTGAAGGTTTTTCAGAGATTTCCACTTTGTGCAGTAAACCTTAAGCAATTCTTAATGTGTCCAAGGTTTTCTCCACATCCTGTTCGTTTAATAGTTTTAATCAATCTCTTCTAGAAAGATAAGAGTGGTGCTGCTTTCAGCACTCCCACAAGGAGCAGTAAAGACAGCAAGGAAAGGAGAGTTATGTCTGACACAAGCACAGAAGAGTCTGCTATTATCTCCGAATAATCCCAACATATGCCACCCCCAATAAAGCATTAATTATCAGCCTGGGTTCAGGGAACATATCTCAAGGATGCCTATTTGATTTAAAAGTTTCTCTGTTTAACATTACGGCCAACAGACAAAAAGGGACAAGAAATTGACTATGTAAATAATACATATAAAAATAATGTAAACACTGATCATATTTGGAAAACCAATGCATTAGTTTTAAGATTAACTAAACACACCTATAACTTATTAACTTGCAGCAATGTTATATTCTACATGTTTTGACATTTAGTCATATTACAACCACAGACTTAAAATGATGTTTATCTTTTGGGTGACGAAGAACACAAAGTAGAACCTAACTTAAGTTATTAGAAAAACAAAATAGCAAAAAAAAAAAAAGAGTAGAATCACCATTAAATGTAATGAATACATTTTTTTTTCAGTTTGGTGAGCAGCAATAACTGTACAAATGCTCCCGCCACGTCCTGCAACGGGTTTTTCATTTGATACATGTATTCATTTGAGCTGCACTAACACAATATTTTCCCTGACATATGATCTATTTACTTTTAGACTGTGTTGAATGTTTATAGGTTGTTTATGCTGGAGGATTAAACCTCTGCCACAGACTTCAGTTCTCTAATAGGTTTGCTTTCAAAACTGCCCTGGGTTTACAGTTTGGTCCATAAATATTTGGAAGGAGACAACAGTTTTCTAATTAAGACTCTGTACATCAACACAATGAATATTTAATGATTCAGATGTAGTTGAAATTCAGACTTTCAGATTTAATTTAGTAGGCTTAAAACGATTGAAAACAATTTTGAGGAACTAAACCATTTTCAGCCAATCTGTTCATTCAAAGAAATACATAAGGACTCCCATTATGATTCAAAAGACCATTCACATTACCCAGGCACAACAAAAGACTCCAACAATCCAGAAGAACAATTCCAGAATTTTTATTGTCATTACACTGTCACAAGTACAGGTCAATGAAATTAACTCTCTGCATGTAACCCATCACCTTGGGGAGCAGTGTGGGGGTAAGGGTCCTGCACGGGGAGTCCCAGGGAGTGTGGCTTGAACTCAGAACCTCAGGATCCCAAGCGCAATGCCCTAACCACTAGACTGCCACTCCCCAAAGCATTCAGATGAAGGGTGAAGGGACCCTTCGTTAGCATGAAGGGTCCTGCCTAAGGACCCACACTGGCAGCTCATCACCCCCAGCGGGTGACCGGTTGACTTACCAATTGTGCTAGCAAGTTCTCTAACAGGTTTGTTGCAAAAACAGCCAAATATCCAGGGCAAGGATACAACTACAGATTGCTCTAGTGCACGCTGACAGAATTGACCAAGACTCCTGGATAGATGATAAGAAAATAGAACTAAAGGTTGCCTTCCTATTTAAGCCTGTTTTATGGCTGTGTGTGCAGCTTAATAATGGTTTTTTTCACCTGTATAGAGAGCTCTTTTGACATTTTTTTTTACATAGAAAAACCTTTCAAATGCATGCACCATAACTCTTATCGACTCAAGTTCTTTTATCTGCTTGACTGAGAGTGGCATAAGATAATTCCCTGATAACTGCCCATAAAACAGCCTTTGATTTGTTGTCAGATTACTCTTGGGTTATTTAAAACAGGGCTACACATGATAAGGAACTAAAACTCCTACACCTCTTATCAATTTATAATGTGGATACCCTCAAAGGAAAGGTGAAAGTTTGGACTCTATGATATCTAAATATGTATGGACCTAACTGTAGCTTCATTGTGTGTACAAGAAGGGAGAGGTCCTACTTAGGTCCTGAAGTAATGTATTGCATTTTTTTCTACAAGTCTATAGAGGAGATTGTGATCTCTTTCTCATCATCTATTGGGGTAGCAATATCAGAGTGACTCACTGATAAAAGTTTAATAATCAAAAGAAAAACACTGGCTCTGTTCTCCAAAAACTCAGACAGAGGGATGGACAGACAGACAGGTTCATATTTTTCTTAATGTAGATGTATTTTAAGAAAGCAGGTATAGCAATTTTCCTGTTATTTTATTTGATGTAATAGTTGCATTGGATTTTTAGAATGACACTAATAGCACCAGTAATAATTTTTTGGATGATTGTCATTTATCATTAGTGTTTGAGACTATGTGCGTATTTCATTAGCTAATAAAAGAAAATGTGTACTTCTTTATGTTTTAAAAGTTTAGGATATGAATAAAATTCTTGTTCTTTCCAAATTTTTAAGGCCAAATTTTCTAAATAAAACTAAAATCTTAGAAAAAAAAATCATAAATTGAAGTTTGAAGTAGAATATGGCAAAATAAAAAGATAAAAAAATAAAAACACTTGCAATGAAACATTAATGTAGCAAATTAAGTATAGGTGCCTTACCTGACAGGCTTGGTAAAGTAGCTGATGCTCAAACTTCTTGATGCCGAGGATATTTTGGAACATCTCATACAGCTGGTCTTTGCTGAGGATCAGCTCCGAAGCTGCGCTGGCGGTCATGCGTTGCTGAGCCTTTCTGGGATCCTCGTCGCCGCGGTAGATGGTGTCAAATTTAGCCATCCAGGAGCTAAGGACTGTTTCCTTACTCAGACCATCGATCTCTGGGAGGCTTCGCACTCGTTTCTCAATGTGCCTCTTGAAGACTTCTCTGAAATCGTTGGCTGAGAAACCGCCACTCTGCACCATCTTAGCAACACGGTCACTCTTAAGGAACACCTACCATGTAAGAGACACATTTAAAGTTTAATATTTATGTTGCTAATAAAAGCTATTAAGTCATAGTTAAATTTAAAAAGTCAGTATACATGTGTGTTTTTGCATGCATTTTGTGATTTAGCAAAAGGCTTAATGCCTGTGGTAACAACAAGCTAACACGGACAGAGTCAGTAGAGACAATACTGTCACTTCATCAAGGGAAGCAGCCATCCAAGCTGACAGCATTTGTCATTGTGACAGTCACATTTTGTTCTTTGCTTCAATTCTCAGCTTCTGAAACATCACAGCAGAGGGGAACATTATCACTGCTTTTTCTATGCATATTTTCAGTAATCAACAAACGTTTTTGCTGAGTCTAACAGAGTTAAGTCAGATTTCTTTGCCTCTCTGTTCTTTGCCCATCTTTACAAGAAATTAACAAAATAGCCCACTGGAGTTCAAAGGTTGGCTTTTTATCTAAAGCAATTGATTAAACATATGTTTTAATAATGCAGTAGACAAAGACATAAAAGCAGCCAAGTATGTATTGGAAGGTAATAATCATATTTATTTTTTGTTAATATACACACATTTATTAAGTAATTATTAGTGTCTTTGAATATTGCAATATTGTTGAGATCATTTCTAAATTATATTAACTTCAAAAGTATCCAGTTAAGAAGCATTTTAAATCTTTCACACGAGTTTGGACATATGGATTCAACCTTTATCTGGTTTATGTGCAGTAGTAAGGGTTGCGGGTTGACAAATTCTTTATCATTCTGAGATAAGTGGTTTTGATGTTCAACTACAATTTCTGGCCTCCTATTTTGTGAAGTGTAGATATCTCTCCTGCAGTATTACAAACCTACAAAGTTGAAATGGTGTTTCTGACCTCTTTGTCCCTCAAAATCTAATTAGTACTAAACACTTCTCCCTTTAGTTTCATTAGACCACAGGTCAGGTCTTCCAAAGTCAATTATTTGTTTATATCTTTTTTTGCAAAAAAGTAATTTTATTGTTTTATGTTGCCCTTCCCCTCAGTGGTATTTGAACCAATTCTATTACTTAACTTATTTAACCATTGATAATAATTCTCTCCTACTACCTTTGACAAACATCATCACAAGGTATTTTGTTTTTGTTGCTAAGTTAATGAGCACATATTGCTCCAAAATACGTTCAAATTTCGGCCAAAGAACCCATGTTCTATCTGCAAAAAACGAAGGCTGAGCATTCTCATAATACTTAAAGGTATATTGGAGGATCTTCGCGAATATTTGAAGAGACTTGCCCTCTTCACTTAAAAAAAATTAATTCACACGCACAACCCTGTACCCGTTCCTGAAAGGGAACGTCTATTAAACGTGTGTGAGAGCATGCACGAGCACATTTCTCCTCGTGCATGTTCTGTTGAAAAGTTGCTGTTTGCATCGCTCATATAAGCTTACTTTCCAAAAGAAGATTTGCAATTTTTCTACTATGCCAGACTCATCACTGGTGAGTGAAAATGGGGAAGAGTGCGTAGGAAGTCCTTATGTAAAATATCACCAGAAAAATTGACAATTAGGAGAACCACTTATTTTCATGATCAACCAGGAAAAAGAACATCCTCCACTATACCTTTAATTGTCATTATTTGAACAGATGAGCAGGGCACAGTGAGGCATCCAGTAATTGTACCCAATGATAAAACGCCATTTGGTTACCATATTTTGCGTAAAAATAAACGTAATCCCTTATAATCCCAATAATGCCATAATTATTTTTTATTGTTGGTTTTTGGCTACTTGTTTTAAAGAGTGTATTCAAAAGTCTGTTTATATATATATATATTGTGAAAGAAAATAAATGCATAAAAAGATTTATACTCATAAAAGAAATATTCAGTATTGCTCAAATATTATTTTTCTGTATAATAACCTATTACATAAATACGGGTCCTCATCACACATTTCATGCTGGCACTTTTAAGCTTTTGATGACCAACCTCTTTGAGCATGAAAAGATCAGCCTGCTACAGGACATTTAACACCTACAATCAAAATCCATGATATAAAGTATTGCTCTTTCAGCATCTTTGTCTGCTGTAAAGAAATATGGTTATTTGAGTCCAGTAGGTAGTATTAACCAGCAATGCAGAGGTTGTCCAGAGCTCCTGTGATTTTACTGTAATCTAGAACCTTTAAGGTTATCAAATAATGCTGCAGAATGTAGTACTGACATAGCTGTGATATAATGCATACTTTTTATTTATATTTTCCTATTCTGATATACAGTTATACCCAAGGAGATAGTGATAAAAGTAAGTTTGTTAACATACAAAGAATAATAACAGTCATGTACTCTGAGTTTAACCTAAAGTCTCAGGTATGAAATATTTAAAGATCAGAGTAAAAATGCTTATTAAGTCTTAGACATGGACATGACATTTAAAAGATATATGTCTTCAGAATTAAAAGAAGACATTTCTACATTTCTTGTATGTATTTATGTTTTTTTTTGTTGTTGCTAAAATTCACTTAAAGTAAATACCTTGTTTTATTAAAAAATTTGTGCGTTTATGTTGATTCTGATTCTAGATAGTTTAAAGATAAAAGTGTGCGGCTACAGCTTCTGGATTTAGCAGAGAGAGAAAGCTAATGTATTAATGAATGTAATATTTTAATAAAAAGACCTGTCAAGGTTTCAGTTTTCACAGAGGGGAACATGCTAAACTCTGACACTCTCATAATTGGAGCCCAAGGGGTACAACTCCACATCATCTAAAGAAGTCACATTTAGTTTCCTTAGACATTTAGTCCAAGAGGTTTTTAGGATTTCATTCTGTGGAGCAATGATTCAAAACAGGAACATATCAGGACTAGTATCAGGAGATTCTACAATAAGAGAAAAAGTCAAGCTGTCTGTGTGGAAGCTGTACATTGGCAGCAACTTCAAACACCACAGTGGCGACAGTGGAGTTGGATGTAGGAGTTTGCCCTGAAATCGAAGGATTGAAGGTTCAAGCCCCAACTCCGACTTTCAGTGTCGTTGTATCCTTGGGCAAGACACTTCACCTGCATTGTCAGAGGGCCCGGTGGCGCCAGTGTACGGCAGCCCCGCTTCTGTCAGTGAGCCCCAGGGCAGCTGTGGCTACAATGTAGCTTGCCACCGTGAGTGTGTGCGTTAATGGGTGAATGAATGTAGTGTAAAGCGCTTTGGTCAAGTCTCCTGACTTGAATAAAGGTGCTATATAAGTACATGCCATTTACCATTTACTAGAGTGATGCCAAGTGAATCTAAAAGTTCATCTATGACTTTAATATCATTGTGTCCAACTTAGGTAAGAATTCTATTGAAACCTTAGTGACTTACTTTGATGAAGAATGCTTCATTTTTGACTAATATTTAGGAACGTTCATAAAGTTTGCCAGTGAGCATAAAAACTTAAGTCATACTCTTTAAAATGCTGTCATTATTTATGCCTCCGTTTAGATTACCCGGAGCCTCATACTTAACAATAACTAGATATTACAAACAGGTTCCTGTTAGGTTTTCTCTTCAAACAAAGAAATAACAGCAGTAACCAGCATTCATATTTTAGCTTAACACAGCTGCCTATCTTGTAATTAGTTATTAAGATTTTGCTATCTAATCTCATGCCTTTCAGTGTTGCATGTATGGCAGTAATGACTTTTGCAGAAAGAATTACAAGGCTACATAAAGGGGCTGTCAACCACACACTCTGACTCATAATCTGTGCAGTGAAGGTTTTCTACCACCATTTTAGCACACAGATCCTCTCAATTCAGGCATTTTGACACAGAATATCAGGACTGTGGAGTATGTTTGACATTTTGTCCGTCATCTTCTAAGTAAATACACTGCAATAGACATTAGCCATCAGACGGCTAAGTGCTGAACATGTGTTTTACTTCACAAGACACATATGTGGCAGATATGTGACAGGGTGCACATAAGGAAGATATGCAACATGATATGAATAAAATAATAAGTCTCTGTGCTTTAAAAAGCTATTCTGAAGGGACTATTTTGGTCTTGTACCTCAGAGTAACTCTGCACCGCATTGATGAATGCTTCATCAGCTACAATTTGAGTCTCTCCATTGAGAAAGGCCTGGAAGCGGTCCTTGGTCTGCTGAAGCTGCTGCTTGGATATCTTAGGAAACAGAGAAAAGGGAAAATAGAAATATGTCAACCATATTTTATTTCAAACTAAAAAACAAATACATTTCAATGTTATTATCTTCAGATTTTTGAAAAACAAACAAAAAACAAGCAGTTTTGCTTTTTATAGGGCTAATGTTTGCATTTCATTTTAGATTGCAATTATCCAGCAATTGAATAACGAGGTCCGTTAAAATCTCAAGTGCCTCCAGCCATAAAACCGCAAGAAGTTCAGGAAACTAATTTCAGAAGATTATAACCCCAGACTTATTCATTCAGTAATACCAGAAGAACAGTAACTATGCAGGGGACAATTCAGATTGATTGTGTGGAAAGTTTATTGCTAAATCCTTCATGATTCATAAGAGAGAATCTACATATTTTCTTTCATTTCAGGCATTCATGCAATCACATTGCCTAAAATCCTCCATATGTGTGACCTCTTTCACTCGTGTGTGAACTAAGCGTACCAACAGTCCACAATATAATGCTCAGTTTAAAACCACTCAATTGGGCATTTTAGGTCATGGTCCAATGAAGCTGGGGGAAAAAAACACAAACAGAAGACATGCCACACTAATGTCACCCAACTGAACACCTTCAGGCTTCAGTTGTACTTTGACTTTATGCTTATGAGAACTGTAATCATGGGAAAGTCAAGCCATTGTCACTAGCTTGAACAAGAGAGGGAGAAAAGGGAGCATAGCAAAAAATTATTCTCTTTTAGCTGAGCGATTTCTCCTGAATGCTAGATAACGTCATGTATTTTAATCAATCTAATAACCAGGGAGACTTCAGTGACAGAGTTCTTGCAAACCTTCCATAATTTAATGTAAATCTGGCTGCCTTTCTTAAAAACAAATTGCAAGATGCTTGCAAGTAGACTATTCTGCATATAGTCCAATTTTTAAAACATGTCTGCTTAAGCAGGGTCTTTCTTATAGCCATCCAGAACAAATAAGATACATTTACTTAAATTAAGGTTTAAGTGCAGGGTTACAAATTCTCTTAACCTGCAGTAATCCAACCATCTAAGAATATTGTACTTAGCTCCTCTGTTCAGCAAATTTATTCCCTGTTTTTTCATCCCCAACTCTCCAACTCCCCAACTCAGCATTCCTCTCATAGTCTTTCTTCCCTTGCAATGTCTATAAGTTATTGAATGGGATATCTGGCTGCACAGTTAGAACAAGGACTACACTGAAAATCAGGCTCCAACATCTATAAACAGAGGTGTTGATGGCAGCAGATCAGCTGTTAGTTCTCTCAGGGACGGTGTCACAGCCAAACAGGAACAGACCAGTTGAAGCTACTATGATCAGAAAAGGCAGAGTGAGCATTAAGATGCAGGTTGAACCAACAAACACTGCAGAATTGGAGAATAGAGATAGAATGAAGCAGAATTATGAAAAGTGGTCCCTATGTCTTCCAGAAGTCTAAGCATACAGCAGCATAACTATAGAAATACATATAGCTGAACATAACATGAGCCACTATGACTATAAACTTCAAAGGGAAAGTTCAAAGCCTAGCCTTAAATGCAAACACTATGTCTACCTCACAAACTATAATTGGTAGTTTGTTCCACAGAAGAGGAGCCGGATATTTAAAATGAATGTATTAGTGAATTTCTCCACTATGAGATCAATTAAGTCTATCTTATCTTAAAAGTTGCCTCCCAATCTTTTTTTTAGACATTTTAGAAACCACAAGAAAACCTGCAGATTGAGAATGAGGTGATCTGTTAGGAACAAGTGTGTGATTTCAAATTCTTATCAGAATTAAACAAGTCAATGAAGAGAAGTTAGGGAAAGTGAAATATAATCCTTCATTTTAATTTTCATGAGAACTCAGAACTCAGTACCATGGGAATCAAAAATGGCAAATGATAAAAGAAACATATTTATCATGAAAAACTCTCCTTTTTTATCTTATTATTTAACTTTATCTTTATCTTTTTACTGCGCTTCCTCAACAGAATCAGAGATTCTATAAGTTAAATAAGTTTACAAATAAAGTGAGATATATGAGCGTGAGATATATAACCCAAATGTAACACAATTTAACAATGTTGGTGGGTTTTTTTAGCTAATATTATTTGATGTGCAAATAATCTAGAAATCTTCAGTGAACAAAGGCAAAAATATCCACAAAAAAAAAAAAACACTTGCATTTAGCATCAATAATATGCAGGACCAAGCTCACAGCAGGAGCCAGCAGGACCATGCTCACAGTGATTAGCCATTTGCTTTCTGCCGATTGGGGATTCAAGGAGACAGAAGCAGACATTAAAAAGTAACAGATCCGTAAACACTTTCTTTGTCAGAAAAGAAAATGGTAAATTAGCCCCATAGTGGGTTTTGTCTAGGAAGGAAATAGTTAAGCAGACAAGCTCTGAGCCAGTTTTCATAAAAGCTAAGCCCATAGTTATGTCTGGGAGAGAGGCAGGACTAAGTACTGAAAAACAAGTCCAACTCTATCATCTTCAATCAAAGGTGTGGATGGTAGAAGCCCAGCTGATTTTTCCTTCAAAGATGTTGTCTAAGTAAAACTGGACTAGACCTGATGAAGCTACTATGATAATAAAAGGCAGAGAGAAGTAAAAGTTAGGGGTTGAACTAACAAATACCGCTGAATGGGAGAATAGAGTAAATGAAGCAGAAAATTGAAAAGTAGTCCCTATGTACTCCAGCAGCATTATCATTTAGCAGCATGGCTTCAGTATGGAGATGGACAGCCACTCCAACTATAAACTTTATAAAAACTAAATGGTTTAAGCCTAGTCTTAAAGGTAGACATGATCTAATTTATGCTCTTACTGTGTCCCATTGAAAATCTAATGGCTGTCTCCTCTCCTTTCCCAGTCAGGTTGCAACCAATCTTGGTTGCACCAAGATTCTTCAGACTAACCCAGTAATTCAATAACAATGGTGTTCTCCTAATTTTTAGTGACATATCTTCTATTTCAGCCTCCACTGCTGACAGAGAAGTTGTTTTAAATGCCCCTGTGACTATCCTTAAAGACTGTGCTTTAATATACTATGTTGTTAAGGGATGTGATTGTTGACCCATAAACCACAAAGCTATAATGTAACACTGATTAGGTCAATTGGATACATTTTGTGTATGTAACTTTAAAAGCAGTCCAGTCTGCTTGCCATTAACATCCAGTCAGTGTATCAAATCATATTCAAAGAATTTTAAAGGGTTTAATTCTTTCCAGTTTGTGACCATATCATTCAAGCAAGGAACCTTTATTTGGTCACCATTTGTTCTAATATTGCAGCCCTTTGGGAATTCTTCAAAACAAAATCAATATTTTGACTTATAAACTGAATTGCCACATCATCTGCAAATATATAGGACTCCAAACCATCCTCTAATGCTTTGAAAACATTGATTATTATAGCAAAAAAAAACAACAAAGGCCTTATTATTACACTGTAAAAACGACAACTCAAAATTGTTCACCTTACTAAGATTTTTGCATTCACTGACAATAAAATTGCCAGTTGGAACTTGAACTGTCTTTTGTGAGCCAGTTGAACTCACTTTCATAAGTTTCTGATGAAAAGTTCATCTTATTCAATAAATTAAGTTGAGTTTACTTAGAAGTTGTAGTTGACACCCAGTCCGAGCGAGGTCAACTTATCTGCGCATGCTTATTTCAAATTTGTCATGGCAACCGGCTGCTACAGGGTTTCCATGGATTTTCCCGGGAGCTCCCTTCTAAAGTTTGGTTTAGCCATCTTGTCACTCTGCTGGCGGCAACTTTCCCTGAGGACTCAATCTCTCTGGCAATATTGCATTATCTGTAAGGTTTTAACAGGAGTTGGAAAGTAAAAAAAAATATGTGCTGAAACCTGATTTGCTTTAAGCATAAGATTACTTGTTTACATTGTGAAATTGTAAACCTGTTTTTGCCAAAGTGGTTCAAATAAACATGCAAAATTTAACTGGACTACTGTCAGGGCTGCTTGGTGGCGCAGTGGGTAGCACTGCTGCCTTGCAGCAAGAAGGTTCTGGGTTCAATTCCTGGCCTGGGGTCTTTCTGCATGGAGTTTGCATGTTCTCCCTGAGCATGTGTGGGTTCTCTCTGGGTACTCCGGCCTTGTCCAAAAACATGACTGTTAGGTTGATTGGCTTCTCTAAATTGTTGAGTGTGTGCATGAATGGTTGTTAGTCCTGTGTGTCTGGTGACCTGTCCATGGTGTACCCTGCCCCACTTGGGACAAGCGCATAAGAAAATGGATGGATGGTTTACTGTCAGTGGATGATTTAATGGTGGGGGACTAAACTCAAAAATGTAATTTATTACAGGGGATGGTAATCTGAATTTAAAATAATGTTTTACAGATAATCTGAACTTAAAATAATAAGTTTTTACAGACTTGAAAGTTCCAGTAACTTGAATTAAAAAAACTTAGTTGGCAGAACTTGAAAAACTTAGTTGACACAACTTAAGTGTAGTTCTACAAAACTTAAAAAATTAAGTTGATGCCTTCAACTCAAAAATTCTGTGCAGCCGGTTGCCTTGAAATTTTGATTTGAACTAACTTTTTCGTTTTTACAGTGTATGGTTACCTGAGATGTTGAATTTGAACGTTTTTGTATTTTCAGTTATATAAGTCTTCCTTTAAAAAAAAATAACTTATTCAATCTTTGATACTCAGCATGGAAAGAATGATCAGTCGTCCCTCCTTCCAAACAATGATAAACCAGCAGCCACTACATTTTCTCTGATTAGCTGCTCTTAAATAATTTAATGCTTGAGAAAGATTCTCATACATTGTGTTCTTTCCTTTTCTAAGACCAATATTCGAACTCAATAAATTCTGTTGAACTATCATTTATTATCCTCTACATTATTTTGCACACATTAATGCTGATGTAGAAGTCCTATAATTCCCTGCACTTGTACCCTTGTTTCCTGGTTTACGTATTGGCAATATCACAGCTTCTTTTCTGACCTGTAGTAATTTTCACACTTTT